TTTCAATCGTTCATCTGCACGATCGACGTATTTATTCTTCCTTCGTCTCTTTTTTCTCACTTTTCTTTCGTTATTCCGCACGCTCCGACAAATAGCCGTGTTTCGTTCGCGCGAATATCTTGTCCCTGTTATTAAATCACATTAGAAAGTTCTTTTTTTCTTCCTTTCTGATATTTTTTTTTTTTATTTTTCTTTCGCTCGACATATGCATCGTGCTAGGCTCAATGAATTTTTTCTGGTTTTTTTTTTTTTTTTTGTACGTGAAAGATATGTATTGTTAAACTTGATTAACTACTACTCGTCGATATGCCTGTCAATTAGAACACCTTAATTAACGCGACCGTGTTACAATAGTACATTTGGCATATCGTGTTTAAGGTTATCGCGTAAATGCAAACAAAATACAATTGTCTTTACTAATCGTCAAGAAAAAAAGAAGTGTGTGTTGCGCACACGCGTGTCGCCGATTCATACGGAAAATTCTTGCGGTATTTTTTTTTTTTTTATATCGTAATCGAAACGAACGGATCAAACGCGTCCTGCAGATCGAAATACATAAGTATATCCGTAGCTGGATCGCTTGAATAAAAGAAATCACGGACACGCGTGGTTAAGTTAGAATTCTCTTTATACTTGAATGGAAATCGCAACTATCAGTTTGCGATAATGAACATTATGCTTTAAAAAAAAAAAATCGACGTTTAAACCTGACATGACGAATGTTCGCGAAATGCGTAGTTTACAACTAACAAGGGAAATTCGTTGAAGAAACATGTGAAATATTAGAAAAAAAAAAAAAGAATGATCTCTATGCTATTATATAGAAAGGAATAAGAAATATGTACACCAACGATAAAACATGTCGTCGATTCCGCTCGATCTTTTGTTTCGACAAAACACACCACACTCTGGTTGCCGAATCTCAGAAATATTATAACTTTGCAACGATTACGGAAACACGCCTCCTTTGTTTCCTTCATTCTGCATTCTCTCTTTCTAAAAACAAGACAACAAGTGTAACAATATCGAAAAATACTTTTCCACGCATAAAACAATTTCAAGTTTACCTACTCTTAATTATGTAGATAAAAATGACAAGAAACAAGGAATGATGCGAGTCTCCGCGAATCTTTGAATAATTGCATGCAAAATAGAAGTATGTTCTTTCTCTCTCTCTCTCTCTCTCTCTCTCTCTCTCTCTCTCTTACATACTTTCACCATCTCTCTAGTTAAAATAAGATTTTTCTTCAATTTCCTAATCACAGTTCCTAATCACAGAAGCTCAGTTCGATGTGTCTTGGCGAGCAACTCGAAAAAATTCTAACTGCGTCATTTTCCTCTTCTTTTTTTTTTTCCTCTCTTCTTTTCCTTCTCCGACGTGCATAACACTCATCTCAGATAAAGATCGATCGTAACCGCGGAATTCCCGCGTGCAAATCGCCCATCCGTTTCGTTCTACGACTCTATGATTTCCCGACTAGATCGAAGAAGACACTCTGACGACTGTTTTTGCGATCTCGCGACTTCGCGTGCACGGTTCAACACGAGCGACGATTGATCGAGAACGGAATACGTGCGATTATTTTATGATCAGTGCAACGGAACTCGTCCTCGTAAATTAAACGTATCTAATACGGCGTTAAATTATTAAATATTACTTGGGGGATGAGGGGAGGGGGGAAGGAGGAAGAGGTACGAGGGTTCGCTTAAAATCTTAATACGTACAAAGGAAACGACACGCCCGTTAAACGACTAAGGTTTCGATCAAAAATAAATACATTTAGTAACTATTATTGCGCGTACGTGGCGAGAAACGCGGAACAGAGATAGAATCGTCGAGTATCGTCCGATAGCTGTGCATTCCTCTGAACGTTAATAGAGCAGACGTTCTTCCGCTAATTTGACTACTCGTCGTCTCTGCTTCGTTTACATACTGTTCGAACAGATTGCAAAATCTGGATAGAACGGGATACTCGTTCGAATCTCCGTGACGTTTCCCTCTTCTGTACAAAAAGTTTCACAACAATTTCATATTGCGTCGAACGCACGCTTCTTACATCTGTATGATCGTGCGTGTATGTGTGTATAGCTAAAAATGCTGAGCGTTTCTACGATCCTAACGATTAAAAAAGAAAAGTAGTAGTGTCCACTCGTCACGTGCCACGGGTTGAAGATGATTCAAAATTATCGCGACTCATAGTCTTTGGCAGTATGTAAAGGCGCGCTTAACGTATGTACGTATACATGTAGAAAATAGGAATAAGGAAGAACAATTCGACGGATATGGCCGGTCTGGTACGCGAACAAGAACGAAATCCAAGTCTCGAGATTGTCCTCGAAACGCTTACGAAACCGTAATACTGTTTTTTCACTGTTTACTCGAGTCGCCGAACTCTGGTATCTCCGGATGCTCGCCGCTCAGCTCGTTTTGAATCTGCTGCAGGCTCTTCCCTTTCGTCTCCGGCAATATGAAGAACGTGAACAACACGCTCAGCACGCAGAATACGGCGAACAGCCAGTACAGCAGATATTGGCCAAACACCCGTTGCAAATCGCTGGCGAATTTGGTGATGAAGAAGGAAACCAGCCAGCAGACGGACACCGTGATCCCGGAAGCTTTCGATTTCACGTTCGACGCGAACATTTCGCCCATCACGGTCCACGGGAGCGGTCCCCAGCCTATGCAATACAACGCGATGAAGATGACCAGCGACACGACAGGAAGCCACGATATGCCGCTAACGTCCGATTTTTCGACGTCTTGGAGGAACATGTAGAGGCCGAGCGCAATCTATAAATCAGAGAGAAACAACTATAAAGGTATGATGATTTTTTTTCTCTTTTTTCCTGAAATGTGAAATTATTTTTTAAACGTTGGAATTTCTAAGCGATGAAATATTTGGCGTGGCAATTTCTTTGATAAGCATAAGAAATTAAATGTCGAGTAGGATTTTGAATTTAATAATTGTTAATATACGCCCTTGTTTCATTTTACATTAAAATATAGAAAATGACAAATTATATCACGAAAGAATTAACGACTCCTCCATCTTTTGAAATCAGATTCTCCTAAAGTTCGGCTGTAATTAAAATTCAGAACGCGACGACAACGTGACACATCGATACACGACTTTACTTTCTTGTACGGTAATTAATCCGACACGCGTTCGACGATCCTCGCAACGCGAAGAAGACATAATTGCGATTTAATGACGCCGATCCGTCGATCCATGAATAACATAATTAGCGCTGGCGGTAATTAACCGCGTTCCAGACATTCCTGGACACGTCTCTCGTGTCTCGATATACCTCGATTAACTTCTTTTCCTCGTCGTATTCTTTTTTTTCTTTTTTTTTTTTTTTTTCTTTCTTTACCTTCGTCCCCTCCTCGCCGAGACGTTACGAGATTTAGATAACGCAACGTTATAGCTCGCGAAGCAACGATCGATTCCTGCGTGCACGTAACGAGACATTGACATTGGTTGCTGCCGCGGATCGGTGCAACAGTCTACTGTTATGGATAATTAACTTTGACCTCATAATTCCACGTGCGTGAAGTCATCGGAACAGCCGACGATTTCTGTGTCGATACGCCGCTGTTCCTACTCTGTGTTTACGGAAAGTTTCTTTCAGGCACGTTTCGCCAACATTATAGTAAACGTCATAATGTTTGCGAAGGTAAACGAGGCACGCAGATTTTTTGACACTTTGAGGCAAATTTCGAGAGACAAGAAATGACCCATGTACGCATAAGGAATTTTGTAAAAACAATTGGCGAAACAATTTTGTTTTTATTCGGACGACCATGCCTCAAAAAGTGGGACACTTTTCATTCCCACCAAAGAGTCGATGTGGTTAGATATGCTTGAACAGTCCAAGGTTCGGCGAGTTGTCCGATATTCGAAAAGTAGTCGAGAATCTGTTCGAGAGCTTCGAGAATCTAGGAATAGAAAAACCAGCCAAGGATTCGTTGACTGTGACTGTAATTCATTACTGGACATTTTCCTACGTTTTTCAAGCGCATAATGCACATAATATGAAAAATTACATAAACTGTTCAAAGCGTAGTCCTTTCTATTTGGCACATAAAACGAGATTCTATATTCTCGATCGTATTTCCAAAGATATGGATTCACGCGTACGATATTGAAAACACGTAAAAATTTAACATGAAAATCTTTGGCAAGCTACGTAAAAAGAATTAATCGAGAATTCCAAAGATCAACTAATAGACATTCATCAATAAAGATGACTTTATCAGAATGTGCCAAACATAGAAAATAAAACGAATTGATTTACACAACGAATTTGATCGATACCATGAAGATTGGACCGAGAATCGCTTAACAAAGATTAATCTGGAACTGTCGATAGAGGGAAAAGCGAAGATCGGAAGCAAACGACCTCGACGTGCGTCCAAGACGTGTTCTGTTCGCATTATACAGTTACGGCAGTATGCAGCGCGCATCAGGAGTACGTCTGCACATGATCGCGAGGTTACATAAATCGATCTGAAGGCGTTGCAAGGCCGCGATCGATTTGTTGCCACTATTTCGCAATACCTGCGAAATGTACGCAACGGACAAATGAATCAAGGCCACGAAGAAGCGCATTCGGTACGTGACGCGACAAGAAATCATTACGAAATTCTCTAGGTCATCGTGGTAATTCTCTCTCTTTCTCCCTCTCGTTTGGTTCGACAGTTCGTCAAACTGTAATTATGACTGAGAACGCTACGCTACGTAGATACAATCTGGCTGCTAATGCAATTTGTCAGTGTTACTAATTAATTTCGAAAGAGCTGTCAATCTCGTAGAAACAATTAGAGTCATTGAGATGAAAAATGAGACTGCGTGTGCTGTTTCATACCGACGTAGAAGAAACGTAGTTTTTTTTTTTTTTTTT